AGATATGATACTTAGGTTTTAAATCTTCTTTAAAATAAGTTATAAACATAGTGTGATGCTCGTGAATAGCATTTTGTAATCTTTCAATAATCGAGTCATTCACGACAGAACCTGTGACAAGACTAACAATTTCCTTAAGAAGTAAAAAATACTCCCATACTGGGTCGTTTTTTTTGACTAAATTACCAACGAGTATACCAAAATAATTGATCAAAAATGACATCTCTGATGCTGAGAGTATTAAATATTTTTTAGATACACAATCATTAGGTAATTTAGTCATTACATTCATATCATCCATACATTTTTTACTTAAATTAGCTAAACGTTCATTTACTTTTTCAAGTGTAAAATAATTTTTTTGTATCAAATGATGCAAAATATGTCCCATGTCGTAGCGGCATATGCCCTCGTAAAGATCGTGTGTTAAGTCCACACAACTATTTTTTGTCACATGAAAATAAGGTATTTGGTTGAAAATACATTCTTCTTCAACACCGTGAGTTAAGTTTTCAGCCGCCAACTTATAATTATCAACGTCTCGCAGTAACTGAGAATCTTCTCTAGTTAAAAATTTACGCTGATTAATATCAGCCGTACAAATACGACAACAATTCATAGATAAAAATGATTTCGAAAATCCCAATATGGAATTTGCTCCTAAATTGTCGCTCACGACTTGAAAAACTACAAAGTTAACTTTAATAGAATTAATGATTAAACCGTCCTTCACTAATTTTTTTAATTTATCTACACAGCATTGAAAGATTGGTTTATTACCAAAGTCTTTGTGATTCAAATAGCGATGCAGTTGAAATAATAAAATATTTTCTAACTGACTAACAAACTCATCTGGTATTCCTAAAATAGAAATATAAACTGCACCTATTTTATGCAAAACTTTACGACTACCAATCGGGTTATTTATTTCGAAATCATCATTGTNCGTAATAGTCGACTGTACATAGACTAATGGTTTTACTTGTGCAATTTAATGCAATTAAATAATGCACATTACTTGAAGTAATTGTACAATTCAAACTACCTAATATTAATGTATATTTTAAGACACCTCAAAATCATTGAATATCTCATAATAATATCTCATAATAAAATATTCAAATTATTAGATGCTCTGCGAGTCAGGTATTGGTCATGAAGCATGGCTTGGAAGTAAATTATGAAAAATCTGAGCAGCACTAAACCTTTATAATACATAAGACGGTTATATAAACATTAAAAACTAATTAAAGTATTGCTGAGTAGGCTATGAATCTCAGCAATACTTTAATTAGTTTTTAATGTTTATATAACCGTCTTATGTATTATAAAGGTTTAGTGCTGCTCAGATTTTTCATAATTTACTTCCAAGCCATGCTTCATGACCAATACCTGACTCGCAGAGCATCTAATAATTTGAATATTTTATTATGAGATATTATTATGAGATATTCAATGATTTTGAGGTGTCTTAAAATATACATTAATATTAGGTAGTTTGAATTGTACAATTACTTCAAGTAATGTGCATTATTTAATTGCATTAAATTGCACAAGTAAAACCATTAGTCTATGTACAGTCGACTATTACGAAGAAGTCGACAGAATGTTAACGAAGTATCTTTGCCATTCGTACCTCTCCTCTGTAGTTACCAAGTCTCAATGTGGTATGACACAATCTTATACTGCTATTATTACATTAAACTCAAAGTACAGAATGATAAAATATTGAAAAAATATGATGTATGAAAAATATGATGTATTGAATGTCTTTATTTAATACACATAACCTGAAATAATTAAATGATGAAAAGTACCTGAAATCATTGCATATTGTATGAAACCTGATAATATTGAACATCTCACAATAATTAACCTCAAACCCAACGAATATGCAAATTACTTAGGTACTGTGCGAGTCAGGTATTGGTCACCCAGTATTGAAATTTACTCAATACTCCGTAACTTTGAGTTTAATGAACTAACAGTAGATAAATATGTACTTAAGAAAGTAATACTTACTTTTAAAAGTATCGATATACTCTTGGAGGTCCCACTGCTTAAGCCAGTCTTGTACTTTTTCATCCATGATGATTTTACCGGCCGTTAGACAATGCGCAGATTTCGATTAGCAATAGGTCACTGGATATTCGAAACCGACAACACAGATTAAATTTTTGCCGGCTTTCCTCTCTCTATCACTGGTATGTGCAAGGTGAAACTCAAAACTAAACACTGTGATTGGAGCAGGGAGCTACTCCGCATTCGGAGGGTAGATCGCAACGAACTGCATTTGAAATTCTTGAAAAATCGAATGTTGTAGCGTTCGATAATGGCGGGCTTTAGCGAGTACAAAATAACATTTCGGAGCATTATAAAGGCGCGGGCTTTAGCGAGTACAAGTAACATTTTAAAAATAAAATTTGATGATAGTAATATATAGAAAACGATCATTCATTTTATCTGTTGAAATAATATAACAGTATCTGCTTCTATCATCTAAAATCTGTACGTAGTAATGGAATTTTAAAATAAAGGTTGAAATATTTTACCAATATGGTGTCGCGAGCGACGAAAACAAAATATTCTGACTCGAGGATATTGACTCATGATCATAGATCATGTTCATTCTGAAAAGTTATTATTGATTTGGTGACACTTACAAATTAATTCTGTTACAATTCGCAAGGGAAATTCAATAATTTATTATATCACATATTTATTTTATTAAAGCAACAATTTGGATTTTATGAGTTCGAATAAATATTTCATTGATTTTATGATATTCATTATAAACATTGTATTTCATTGAAATTATGAAATATAACGTTATTGGGACAAGATATTTTTTTGGTTCAATGAAATATTTCATTAGAATATTTCAGAATTTCAATGAAATTAATATTATTCATTTAATAGTATCATTTGATCGAAAGAATCAAATATTTTGTTAATAGAACTAAATATTTTGTTCATTGTTCTTCCAACGAAATATTGAATTGTTTTTACATAAATTTCATTGCTTCAATTGATCATATTCATCAAACTAATAGTGTATTAAATATTAAATTAAATTTCATTAAATCAATGAAATTTTTTTCTCAGTGTAATCGCGCTGCACGGCATGGCTCGACTTAATTCACTTTTTTTTCACTCGCGATTTATACAATTTATTATAACAGATTTAGAACACAGATCTTGGTTTTATTCTCATTTGCTCGGTTGTACACGTATATACAAGCAGGTTTTCTTTCTGTGCCACTCGACTGCCGCGTGCGTGCATATATAATGCGTGCGCATTGACGTACGTTATACACATTATATACGTAAACTCGGATGTTTCGAAGCCGATCGCACATGGCACCATGTATATTTTATTAAATATATATATGAAGCATGCTTGCGCATGATCGAGTGTCGCTATACGAGTCTTGGCGCAGTTTTTTACTCCGCAAAACTGGAATGCGACACTTTATTCAGAGCACATAACTGAATTCGACTCGGCACTTTCCTCGCGTCCCCCCGTGCACGTGCAAGTATGTATTAATTTATGCCGCAGCACGTGTGATAAATCGCCGACACGAAAATGACATTTGATTTTTCGCGAGCAGTATGAAACAATCCTCGGGTATTATGCGCTCGTTGAGACGTCGTCGCTGCATAACAATTAAGCGCGATAATTCCGGCGCTCGCGTGCTGTGTACAAAATAACGCGAAATCCTCCCACGCGCCTATACATCGACTCGTTAAGTGTATTATACAGACGCGTGCGGCAGGCCAATCAATGCCCGATAGCTGCGCGCGTGCAAGGAAAAAAAGCTCGAATATATACATAGAATACTGCACGCAGTATATCTAACGTTTCGCCCTCGTGGCGAAAAAATCATAACAGACACGTAGGATCGACGTGCGCTTGTCTTTCTCTTTCTCTCATCGATTGTGTCTCTTTTTTCCACTCCACTATAGGAATATATATAGTGTAGATATACGTTACCGCATGTACATATAAAACGGGATCCTTTCGTGTGTACACATAGACAGTGCCTACAGGGATCTCGGGTATGCATGCAGACGTCTATGGCGCCTTGCATGCCTGCAATTGTGCAACATCGAGTGCGCTCTCGCGATGACTTCACCCTCCCTTCGCGTGTATGCGGCTATGTATGTGTGTGTGTAAGTACATTTATCCTGTATCGTCTCGCGCGCTCGCGACTTTCTTTTTGCGTATACGCGCGCGTATATATACCAGGCCACGTGTAACTCTGTGCTTGTGTGTGTATATGAGTGTGTATTTTATGACTGCATAATGTTTCCTTTGTCATTGTTTTTTCTCTCCGTGTGTTTGTGCGCGAGAGCTGCTGCAGCTCGTATTTATACGTATATTATATAAGAAAGTTAAAAATCATATGTTTAGCGCGCGTTAGAAAGAGGCTTATGCAATGCCATGGATGAGATAAGTATTATATGTATACAATGAGATGGTGTCTCGGTGCTTTGGGGTCAAATTCTATTGGGACTCCAATATAAAGCCGCTGATAGTGCCACGCGCATAGTACGTTGAGCTGCATCGTGCGGGTATTTATTTATTGGTACACGTTTTGCTGCCCGTATCATTTCGATTCCAACCGCATTGACAATTACACGACAATGAGTGAAGGGGAAATAGAAATTTCGAGATTCCTTTTGCTCGTTTATTTTCAAGATAAAAAATGAAACACGTAAAAGCATCGAGCCGAGGAAAATTACATCGTCGATGACCGCTACGTAGGATTATCAATTTCAGCTATTAAAATAATTGTTTTGTTTTCCGAACAGTAATGTGAAATTTCTCGTCGCTTGACAAGACAAACAGCCTTGAATGCTCTATTATCTGCAATGAAGTCACATTTATAATTATGCCTTTGACAATATAATTCATGGAATGTGACCGTAATATCGGTAGTTTTATATTTTATACAGAAGCACGATGAGTCCGATCGTCAAATCGGTATAAAACTCACCAGTTGAGTATACTCGGACCACTCGTTCCATATTTTGGCGTCGATTTTCTTGCGGCAGGACATTTTTTCGACGATACTTTTCGATATTATTCTGTTTATCATCGCATTTCCGCGCTAATTTTTACTTTTCCGTTGAACGTTCATATTTGCCACTATTGTTTCGTGAAATCGCTTTATCGCGCACAGCATCCGGTTTTCTTTTGCAATCGTTCATCTCTCGTTCCTATTTTGGCCTTTAAATCATAATTCTCTTTAGTAATGGAAATTGCTTGGCTTTTCTTTTTCGTACATTCTTATAAATACTACGATTAAAATATTGTAGCTGTATACGTTCAAAAAATTCCATGCTAATTTTTTGGGTACTCTCTTAATGTCTGACACTTTATCAATTCGACCTACAGTTGAATGTACAGTTTAATTTTTTTCGACGTGTATATCAAACAGTATGCATTGTAACTGCAAATTGGACACATTACTCGGCATTATACACTTTCTACATGAAAATCTCATTCATTACGTCGTAACTAGCCAATATAACAACAGTACACACCATTGTATTCACGATTATACGCGAGAAATAAATCGCGCAGTTGTTGTTTTTTTGGTACATTACACACGTCTTCGCGAAACAGTTCATCGAACTCGCGCTCGCAGCACACTGTGTACATAGTACGTGCGCGGGCGTACGTGTGTGCATATGTGTATATAAAAACGCCCAATTCGTAACAATACTCTGCAGACTGCCTACCAGCAACTTGGATTTTCTTACGCTTACGTAAATAAAAAGAGAAACTGCCGTTTAATACATTGTTGCGCTGGTGGAATATAATCGAACGCTTAAAAGGTGGATACGAGAGCTCGAAGCGATACGTCGTACGCCGAATGAATTTATAAAAACCCGCGCTAATGAAAAGAGGCGCGCGCGCGAGATCGCGACATTGGTATGATTTTCTTTTTATTGCTCCGACACAAGAGTCAGGCGATTGTTTATTTAAACGATTAATGACAAAGTGAACTTTGTTGGCACGTTCGAATGTTTGCTCATCGGCTTAGCGCTTTTTTGTCCGTTTGTATGCTTAGGAAAAATACAATAGCGCAATATGATGGATACAAGACGTGCACAATATATAACTATGACGAACAAATCCGTGCGGACTTGTGAACGGATCGTTATCGCTGAGGTGTACAAAAAAGAGGGTAAAAAATTGCTCACACACAAGCGATAAGGAGAATATGTCAGACCCGCGTTTGAATTTATTATACATACTAAAAGTCGAGCGAACACAGGCAGCAGCTGAGAAAAGTACACTTTAAATATTAATTCTGATGCGGTAAATGCTCACAGATGATATTATTTAAAACAAATGTGAGAACACTTTATGTGTCATGCCATGATTTTACAAAAGTGCGTTTTTATGAAAATTGTACAATACTGCCGGTTTTTATAAAAAATTTCGGAAAGACTTTTTAGGATCTCGTTATCTACAGTAGCTTTTGCGGGCCTTGAAAATGAGCTCTACGGTGTGTATAAGGGCGCACCCGGGCACGCGAAACGCACTTCTCGATAGCGCATACACACAAGAGTGTTGCGGGGGCACCTACGATCAATCTTCGCAGGATACTAATTGCAACTGCAGCTGCTATTATGCACGCACACAATACGCAGGTTGACGTGTCCTTGCAAATACATACACGTATCACTCGGCACATACGCCTTATCTTTTTCGCGCGCGCACACAAACTCACATGTACAGTATATAAAACGCGACTTTGGAGCGATAATAAGCGCGTCGGGGTAATTACGCGCTCGCACATTGATAGTTTGGTATCTGTTGCCGTGCGCTCGAGCGCGAGGATGTGCACGTGCGTATACGACAGCGAGTTTCCCGTATAAATGTGCACATTTACACACGCATATTGCAGCGAGTCGTGTCAAGGATCATGCGGGCGACAAGTAAGCAGCGATAGCCATTTTTTTACTTCTTTAACGCCTCTGGTGCACGAAAAGTATAAATAGCTGTACGGCTCCGAGCTTCGTTGAAATTTTCGAAAGATCGTGTATTGTCTACGCGGCGCGACACACAGACACGGAGCTCGTTTATAGGCATGCACACACGCGATCTATTGCATCGATATAGCTTATACACAGTCGATAATCGACTGCAACTATCAAAGCGTGAAAATACTCGAATAATTACTCATGTATGTGCCAACTCTCGCGTGCTATATTTAATGCGCTTATTTTTTCCTCTCTCTCTCTCTCGATCGCGTTTTTCCGCCAGCAGCTAAAGCCCCGCGACTTTGCTCGACTTGTTAACGCGCGCGTGTACATGAATTTTTTTTTCCTAACGCGCGCGAGCGCGACTCAAGAAAGCAGCGCACTAAACATGCAGACACTAAGATCGTGTGAACCTAATTTAGTTCGCGCGAGTCGCAAAATCGATTTCAATATCTCTTACATCACGATCGGTACTATTTTTTTTCGATTTTCTTTTTCTCTCTCGTGTCTCCATACTTCGATCTGTACACCTATACACACACGCATACGCTACTATCCTTGATAAATATCCAAACGAACCGATAATGCGCATGCAAAAAAGTAGCGCTGTACGATCTATAAACATTTAGACTGTGAAAAAAAAACAACAACAAAAACCACGAGAGAGCGAGTAGGTATATTTGTGATACAAATGCGCGCACGTATAATACAGGCGTAATTATCTTAGCCAGGAGTGAGGGGGAGAGAGATGTACACACGCGCGGCCTATGGCTACTGCAAGCACAGTACGCGAGAGAGCATACGTGCTTTTAAATGACAGTATTTATGTACCGAAGTAACGGGTTTAACGGTAGCAAAATGCTCGGCAAAGTGTATCGTCTCGCGGTCACTTACAAAACGATCTTAACGATCCGAGACGCGCAATTTTCTGCCCAATATACTTACACATACACACGCACAGGCACGCACACGCATACTCGAACGGATTATATCTCGTGTGCGCATTGGGCCAATGCGTGTTCGACAGAAGCTCACTTTTTTACGCTTTTCATTTTGAAAATTACGGACTCGTTGCACGACTGCCCGACAATTTTCTACCAGAGAGAATTATGATTTAGGGCATGTAATCGATGCACAATGTAATCATTTGCAGCTGTAATATCTCTATTTATATTGTCTTGAATCCACCATTGTGAATTTCGACACACTGACAAATTTCCAAATCCTAATTTGGCCACTCGCTCCATTCACGGATACACACAAACACGAGTATACAATTCACAAACACTGTTGTATTATGCACTTTGTTTCAACGCTCGTGTAGACCAAAAAGTGCACTGCAACACTCTCGCGCGCCGTGTGCAACCGCGACTCCTTTTCCTCGGGTTTTCGTAATTATCAGACGCGAGTGCATTTAATATACGCACGCCGAAACTTTCGCCGAAATTTTCGCAACGGACGTGTGTGTTTGTATATGTATACGCAAATGCACACTTCCTTTATGAATTTTCGTTTTCTCTGCGCGCTGAATCGAGAGAGAAGCGAGGGACTACAACACTTCACTTTCAAAAAAAGAAAAAGGCCACACGAATATAAACAATATAAATGCAGTTGCGGTATCTCGTTGAGCGTACCGATCTTTCCAAATGTCTCGTCTTCTCTTCTTGTGTCACATTCTTGAATAATCCTTTCTTTCTTTCCGTTGCTTTTTTGCGCATGTATATAGCGTATATAGTTATATACACAAGACCGAAGCGTTCGAGTTCTTACAAGCGACTGCGCTTGGGGCCGCTCACCCGCGCTTATAGTCCAGTCGCGAGCCGAGTTGAGCTCTCTCTCTCTCTCTCTTTTCGCTCTCTTACTGCGCTCGTGTATATGTAACTTACTTCCGGCTTGTGCCTCCTTCTCTTTAACCCTGCGCGAGCTGCTGCTGTTGCTGCTTCTCTATGTACTCTTTCACTGTTAAAATTTACCTCATTGTATACATATGCACATTGTATGTGTGAATGTATAAAATATGTGTCTTATCATTTTACTTGAGTCAAGTTCATTATCGCTCGACTGCAGCATGGCGTGTATAGAGAGCCAGATAAAACTGTTGTATATTACTTATGTAGTGGCTAGAAAATGTCTTATCGCTTTACGATTCTCAATTTTTTTTTCCTTTTCTTTCTCTTCACTCACTTCATTTTTCGCAGCTGCACGCGCGCGCGCGACTTTTTGTGCCTTTTTTCGAGCCGCAGCTTACTTACACCTACGGCGTGGGCGTGAGCAATGATTTCTATGAAGAAATACATGTTTATATGTCGCAGCTGAGCGCAGGTTAATGAGATTGTGCTTTATCTGCACGGCCCGGCCATAATATATGACTCGGTCGCCGGTGCACACAATTATTTTTTGTGTCCCACTCGATTAAAGTAGTACGACGCGCGCGAGAAATTCCTCTCGATAAGACAAAAGTCATATAATTTATTGTCTAGCCACGAGCGCGCGCCAACTGCAGCAAAATTCTCCATCGCGCCGCACTCGCGGCACCCGAAGCCTGTACATTGCGATACATATTATATATATGTTTTATTATATTTATATTGAATTTTACGCACGAATGCGTAACTTTTCTAAGCCCAATGGCATTTCCTACCCACTTTTATCTGATCGCGATCTCTATCAATGCCTTTATTTTTCTTAAATAATATATATTACAACGCCACATCGAGATGTATAAATCTTAACATTATTATTTCTTCTCGTTCGCTATTTATACTCCAAGTTCTAGCGGAGCTTTAATTAAATAATCCTAAGCGAAATGCATAGAAATTAACGATTTGTCGGTCTTTATAAACAATTAAGGGTGCATTTAATTGAGTCTAGTTGCTGCACTTGTAAACAAGCATCTAACAATAACAAAAAGAAGTAGATCCAGATTTCTCTCAGCGGCATTGCATGATCCAATAGCGAATCAATTAATGACCCGAGGCGGATAAATTCGCTTCCGATTTTTTTCAGTAATAACCCGCGGGGCGAAGATGACGGCGTTATATCGACCGGTACTTGCTCATTATCTATAGGGAGAGTCGATCGTTCGTTCAGCCAAATTGGGGAAAAGGAAAAAAATCATCAAAACGTTTATTGCTTACGCAAGTTGACGATTTTCAATGAGAAAAAGCGCTGCACAGACCGATATTTTTGCACCGCACTCACGCGAGGCATTACAAACGCTATTAAACATTGTAGCAGCAGACATGCAGCGTGAATACATATACTCACTTATGGATACGAACTCAGACGGATGCACCAAGTTAAGAAAGTCAGCTTAAGGAATTTTTCCTCCTTCTTCTTTTTTTCCTGCAGCCGAGCGAACATTTTTGTCTTCCGTAATGGCGGCTGCGTGGGTGCCTCTCGTGTCAACTTGCACGAGCAGCCCACTGAATTGAATTTACGTTACGCGCCGAGACAAAAAAGTACAAACACGAAAACTCACTGAGCGGCCAAGTGGTCTACGTGTTTTCGTAGTCAAATCGAACGATTATGCTGAGGTAAGAAGTTTGTTCTCCTCGTGTTGACGATATAGTTCAGAACATTTTGCGCAACATATAATATGCATGCACGCATATAATACGAGCAAAGCGCAATTTTCAATTAGAGACCAATATTGCGGCTCTTGAGCGAGTAATTATACTAAACTAGATCGATTTTTAGAGTAACCTTAAATTATGTACGATATTTGAAGTGCATCTGCGAGGTGAAAGTCATCAAGAGATAGAGAGGGAGAAATGTAAGTTTAGAGGTAATTTACTTCCCCCCTTTCTCGCGAAAAAGTAAAGAGAAAAAAAAGAGGAAGCAGGCAATATACGGAGCTACAGTTCCAGCTAGATCTGTCTTTCCGATAACATCAAATCTAATTCCAATAATTTCATTTTAAATGCGAGTCCTGCTTCGAGACAAGTAGCACTGACACTACTGTGCAGTGTATCATACGCTGCGTGCACGCATTTGCTGGCGTTTTCAATAAATATATTTATAACCGACAGCACTCGAGCGCATATAACTACTTGCTATCCATCTTTTGTATAATGTTTCCGTGATAATTAGCCTAACTTTCGCCGTGTAAACGATTCTTGAGCTGCTTGCTGAAGTTAGCGAAATACATATGTGTACAATTTTTGATAGTCGTAACCCATGAACCTTCACTCATCTAGACACATAAACGCTACATAGTCGACTCGGCTCTTTAAAAGCTTTGACTCAAACTCTGACGCTTTTATTGTATCCCTCAAAAACGATGATTTACAATTTGTTTTTTTTTTCATTATTATTATTATTATCATTATTATTATTTAAGCCTATCCGACATACATTTAAACACTGGCGAAATTCTGACACGGTATGATAGAAAGCGAAACGCGATTTCACCACGTGTTTTGACGTGTGGTCGTGTGTTGTTACAGCGGCAGCGTCGGTGCGAGGATGCAAAGCCCCTAATGAGTTTTGATGAAAGCAAAAGTTGGCGTATATATACGCGATTATTATACGCGAACGAGCGGCGATGTTGCGTAACATCTAGCATAAGCGAGGATTGTGTGTTGCGCATATTTGCGCAGCGATTTTATATATTATAGTATTCTTTCGTGCCGATGTAGATGCAATGAAAATTCAATAAGCTTACGCGATGTATAATATAGGCGAAACCGATGTAGGCGCGAGCGCATCTGCTCATCGAGGCTGTGCATGTAAACTATTTTTGAAAACAGCCTACGAGCCTCGGTATCGGTTAATCGATATCATCTATTCTAAGCACGGAATTATAAGAAAAAATCCGGCAAAGCAGTTGATTTACATATCAAGTACATAATTATGATTTATTTTATGTTCTCGTTATGCATTAAAATGTTTTTAGAAAGTTCGCACTATATTTATGCACTGCACGCGCGTACGTGCGTGCGCGTGCGTCAGCAATTGGACTTTGTATAATATGTATTTTTCAATTATTTTTCAATTCCACGTAATTAGTCAACTCGGTATCATTTATATTTACTCAATTTCTATTTTTTGACGTCTCGTATAGCTGCTGCGCAAACTGCTGCTGCTGCTGCTTGCGTACAAAACCTGCAAAAGCCGACGTTTGGCTGGCGTAATAAAATGAAACATTGCCAGCTCGCGATCGTATAACTCATATCAACTGGACGGACACCCGGTGTTACTCTCACATATACGTACTCCTCCGACGCAGCGCGCCGCGATGATTATCACAAATGCACATTGCTTTCTTTTTGAGATCCGTCGAGTTTTATGAAGGCGCTCGTTGCGCGCGAGGAAAAGCACGCACTAGAGGCATCATGTGAAATTTTTAGCTTCGCTCTGTTCGTAATGACGTTGCTCAATTTTTGCAAGGACGAGAGCTCTACCGAGTTTATTATTCTAGATGTCGCATGGCCGCGACAGAAGTCCTCTCGAGCCAACTCGAGCATAAAAGCATAATGTTTTTTAGATAAAATAAAGCGCGTCACTGTAGACGGAATTCAGGTATAATGTAGATGCGTAAGCATTTAAAAAAAAGGCTAAAATCATGTATGCGTGATTATAGCCGGTTCGATCGGTTCGAAAGCACAAGTTTTACATGGTATTTTTTTTACTCTTGAGGACTGGGTGTAATGTGCGATGAAAAATCACCGTAGAGCTAATGTACCTGAGACACGTTATGCTTGCAATGCTTTCTCTTCAAAATCATTTTGAACATGTCTGAAACTTTGTGGCGAAAATTTTTCTCTTCTACAACAAAAAAATAGAGGGAAAAAAGAACTGCAGTTTACACTTGAAATTTTGCAACATCGTTTCTATACTGTGTACATCTACGATGACACCGACAAAGGGTACGAAAGAAGGAGACGACGAAGAAGAAGCCAAGAGACTTTAAATACGTTTACAGTTACGGCGTATAACACTTCTCTTTCTCCCTGTACGTATGTGTACGTGCATACGATGCACATTGCACATGAAGTGAAGCCCTTAAAGCTCCTATCACGAGTCCTTCTGTCTCTCCTATGAACCTATATACACGTCAGCCATTCGTATGTAATTGGTCGGACAGTCACTTGTCTTGTCTCTTCGTATTTATGCGCGCCTGTGTTCTTCTTTTATGTTTATTATTTCATTGCATAATGTGATCGGACGGACCAATGAAACGATGGATGTTTTTCTCGTACTTTTCTCAGCACCTACGCTCGTCGGATGCAATTATTATATTACAGATCGAGTCGAATGCATATTAAATTATAAACGTTTCTTCAATCGAGCAAAATAATTTAATACATATTTACGAGCCCAGTCTGAATTAAAAAAAGACAATAAAATTATTTTTTTTTACAGAATATTAAATCGATTTTTTTACTGAAACATTAACATATGCGAGTAATTTTACGCGTTCGAGAATTGCATACACATTCAAACAAACAAAGGATGAAGCATTGGTTAATATTTTTTTTTTTTCAACTGAGCTTACGCGCGC